ATCTAAAGTCATATGGCCGATGTGCACATTCATAACAAAGTATGTTGTGCCTGGTGCCTGGTAAGGCTAACAGGGGAGCGTGGGGCCGCGGCGCGCGGCTCCGGAGCTGGGGCGCGCGGTCACGACACGCTCACGCCTCGCGGCGCGCGGGGACAGTGCTGCTGCACGACTCCCTCTCTCTCTCGAAGTGGAGTAAGCAAGGTCAAGAGGGCCAAGGCGCAAGGTTTGCCCCTAGGTTTGCCCCAAAGGTGGCTGAACCGTCCGATGCGCCATGCACCACGCCATTATCGGCCAAGGGCGAGCGTGTGTCGGTCGTCATGCTACCTCTATCCTATAGCACATCCCACTCGGACTCGCGCTCACGGGAGCTATCTCCCCGATGCCTTCGCCTCATCCGCCGGTGGTGCTGTGCGATCACCAACTGCACCTCCTCCGCTGGCGCGCGGGCCGCCTCGCCTATCCGCCGCGCCTCCTGCCTCGCCTCGCTCAGCAGCCTCTCCGCCTTCCTCTCCGCAACGCTGAGGAGCCGCGAGGCCTCGCTCGCCGCAGCGCTGCGCGCCTGCTCCTCCCCAACGAGCGCCTCGAGCCTACCTCCCGCCGGCAGCGGCCCGCTGCGCTCCGCGCCGTCGAAGCGTGAAAAGACGTACTGCGTAGCGTAGGGCGACGGCACCTCGTACAGTGAGGCGTCGCCCTCGATGGCGCCCTCCGCCTGCACACGCCAGGGCTCGGCTTGAGGCTGGGGCGTGTGAGTGACCTAGCTGCGCCTACGACCCCCGCGCCTGCGCGGAGGTGACAAAGTGGCCCGAGTGCGGGTAGTTGTCCACCTTGCCATAGAGCGGCCCGGTCGATGAAAAGGACTGCCCAAAGATGCCGTGCGGCTGGAAACGCTCCGCGTAGTCGCCCTTGACACCAGCGCCAATGTCGAGACGGTGCTCCGGCCCTGCGATGAGGTCAAAGGTCGGGCGGCCCTGCACACTGAAGCTCCAGTTCCCCGCCGCGAATGTCGCGTGAGACATCTGCACGGCGACGGTGAGCTCCTCGCACCGCTTTGACTTGCCCTTGCCGATCCGGACGCGGCGACCGTGACAGGAACCGTTGATGACCTTATAGCCCCAATTGTTCTCCGTCAGCTCGGACGCCCAAAAGGAGAAGTTGGCCCAGACCCGCTTCGTCGGCCCCACGCGCGCGGTCAAGTGCATCTCCGTGACGAACGATCCGTCGACGACGAGGGTGCTGCCGTCCGAGCGGTGCAGCTCAAACGTGGCATTCTCGATCCGGAGGTTGACAGCGATGTTTGGCGCGGAGAAGAAGTTGAATAGCCGGCCGTGGCGACCTCGAAAGTCGGCGCGCCCGCCGTGCGCAAAATGGAGATGCGGGTCCTTGTCGAGTACCAAAGCCGGGGGGTGGTTCGGCGGGGCGGGCTGACCGGGCGGGACCGCTACGGGAGGAGAGGGCGGAGGGGGCATGAGAAACTTGAGCCTCGTCGTCCCCTCGGCGTCGGCGACGGCCTCTTCTCGGCACCTCGAAGAGTTGCTAACCATGCTCTGGTAGCTAAGGGCAGTCACGATTGTGACGCTGCCGTCCGAGTTGGGCGAACCTCCCAGTGGCGCCGACCGGGGGAAGGGAAGATCCGGGCCTGCAAACAGGAAGATTGTCCCGAAGCCTAGTGCCTGGTCCGCTTCAAAATAGATGTCCTTTGTTGCACGAATCTTTGGAGTAGTGAAGCACTCCGCCGGCGACGCATCAAAACAATTCTCAGGAAAGTCTAGGTGGAGCCCACTACCGATGGGTGCCGAGTAGTTCACTACCCGCCACACGTCTCCGACTGTTTGGCCGCATGTCTCGTCAGCGCAAGTCAGCTTGAGCTCCAGAGCCTCGCCCTGTTTCAACTTCGCCGGCACACCAATTCTTTCGCAGTTCTCATCCAAATTCGTGATGCTGCTGCATCTGCTGTAGGCAGCTCGATTTTCCACCCGGAGGTAGAGCGCAATAAGGTCGCTACGTTGAATTTCAGAGACCAGGGATTGTGCGTAGGCCTTATCGGCGTTGGAGCAGTTTCCATGGCCTAACCGAAATAGGTGGAACATTGAAACATAGCCGATAGCCCAAGTTAAGTTGTCGTAGCGCCCGCACCAGATGGGGTAGCCGCTCACGCTCGCTCTTCCGCTGCAAGTGTACTTCTCCTTCCCCATTTCTGCTGATTGGCTCTGTACTGAGCTGATTGCGGCCACGAAGACGCGCACGGCGAGGGAGCGCCCCACCATGAGCTTCCCGGATCGCGAAGGATATGGACGCACCCGCGTCTTGAAGTCGGCGCTCGCGTGGCGACCGCCGCCTCTGGACGCTGCCATCGAAGAGGCTCTGCAGAACGGTGATCAGGAGGTTGAGGTCAGCCCCGATCGATAGGAAGTCGCCCACCTTGATCCCGCACGGGAGCTGGTCGACGTGGATGGTCAAGTCCCCCGCGGAGGCGTCAATCGACAGCGTGGATGGCCCGCACGGAGCCGTCGGCGGCGGTGGCGGCGGCGGAGGGGGCGGGAGGGCTACCGGCGGTGGCGAGACCGTCGAGTCGCACCCCCTCGACTTGGGCGGTCCCACCTTCGTAGTGTATTCGCCAGCGTAGTTCCCAGGGGGCGAATAGCGGCAGACAACGGCCAGGTTGTACCACCCCTCTCTCAAGTTATTGCAGTCGAGGTTAACGCCGCAGCCAACCTCGACGGAGGTCTTCCAGACGACCTGCGTAAAGTGGCCAGTCGCTCCTGTTGAATCCGGCTTGCTCGTGCCCGTCGCGAAATCATAGTTGTCAATCTCCTCGTACCAGCTGTTGACCGCGTTGCTATAGCTCGTGTCCGCGCGGAAGCGGCCTGGCGCCGTGCTTCCTGCCCAGTAGAGGTTCTCACCAGCGTTGGGGCGGTCGGCCTGCGGTGAATGGCCGAGGGGGCAGCTGTCGGCGTACTCCGGGAGGGCGGCGGCGGCGGTGTAGGGGCGGCGGCGAGCTCCCGGATGCAAATACTCGCCTCACAGTCCAAGATGGCGGCTCGCGCCCCCATCCGTGCACCGGCGTGCCACTCTAGTCCCGCCTGCCGCCCAGATACCGAGGGCGGGGCGCACTCTTCGACTTGGGCTATTATTTGCCACCGGGAGGGCGGCGGCGGCGGTGTAGGGGCGGCGGCGAGCTCCCGGTTGCAAATATACTCGCCTCACAGTCCAAGATGGCGGCTCGCGCCCCCATCCGTGCACCAGTGTGCCACTCTAGTCCCGCCTGCCGTATGGCGGCAAGGCCTCTTTGCGCGCCCACCCTCGTCACGCAGAAGACCAACGGGCGTCGGACCGCGGTGAGACCGCGCCGCCCTCCGCGCCCGCCCGCGCCCGCAGCGTGAACACATACGCGCGTCCCTCGCCGCACGGAAACATACGCGCCAGCCGCGCACACAACCTCACATGCAGCGCAGACCGCATGCCCGCGCCCTGGGCCGCCGACGACCCGGTCGGGCGGGCTGAGCGGCCGCCGCACACCACCAGGCAGGCGCACAACCACCCGCAGCGCGCCGCAGCCCACCGCGCAGCCCTGCCAGCCAAGCCTGCGCCTCCCAGCTGCACAAACAGGGCGCACAACAGAATACAGCACACAGCACACACGCACAACAGAATACAGCACACAGCACACACCGGCGGCGCGCGCGCAGCACACGCAGACGCGCGCGCGACCGCAACACGCACACGTACACAGCACGCGCGCGTCGCACGCCAGCGCAGCGCCACACACAGAGCACACTTCCCATCAGCAGCAGCAGCCTGCCACAATCCACATCTCACACACGCGCGCACACACTCCCCCCTACCGGCGCACGCATTGGGCGTCGCCGAGAGCTCCCAAAGCTGACTTGTGTGGCTGCTTGTGCTGCCGGCTCATCCAGCGGCAGCACAAGCCGCCACCCACCCCAAAAAGATCACTCTTTATCGCTTGCCTTTTACAGCCCTAGATGGGACGATACACGGCTGACAGTCAACGAATCCCGCTTCATGCGCGACCTCCTAGACTCTTGCCCCCATTTCACCTCAAAACTCGCTCTACATGTCAATTTCAATATCGGGCAACTTCGTTGTTGTCTTTTGCGACCTTT